CTGAGTTCCGAAATGCAACTTATACTTTAGGTGCAGGTTTGCAAAGTCCCTCAAGGTGCGGTAGATGATCCATTTCATCCGTGTCATGCCACTACCATACTCCAACTCGATACGGAAGACGAGATGGCGATCTCCGGAGTGAGAATCAATCTTGCTGTCCGTGACCCGCACCTTGAGCTGCTCCAGAAGAATCGGAATTCGCTTGCTACCGTGTTCATCTCGCTGGAACATGCTGGCCAGTATCAAGGCGGCCGGCACTCCTGAGGTCAACTCAGCGAGTAGCTCTGCCGACTTGGCATGGTCTACTGTGTTATCCACCTTGCGTCGCTGTCCGATCAACTTGAGACCTGCCTTTATCTGCCGCCACCTTTGAGCACTAAGGCTCGAGCCGCGGTCAGCCCGATGACGCCTCCAGGGTGGTGCCGTTCCTTCTGCATTCTCGGAAGGTCCAGCTAACCCAGTCAGCCGTCTCAGATTGCTTGGTCTTCTTTCCTCTTGATTTGCCGGCGCATCTATTTGGCGCCCGCTGTAAGTAAGGCCCCGCGCGTTAGCGAGCCAGGCACTTTTCCGTCTCCATGCAGTATCCCTATTTAGGCGATCACGACCTTCGTCTTCTGAGACACCCTCACGATGTTGAGGTGTGAAATCACCGGTACTGCCCCGTCGCGGAAAGAAGTTGGGGCGATAGTTTTCAAAGGGGGAAAAGGAGGTCGGTAAGTGGAAGGAGGGCCGGCTGGTGAATTTGGGGGTATTTGGCTGCGATGGGGGCACCGAATCATCCTGCTGCCGACGACGTGGCTGCTTCTTCTTCTGTTTCTTCTGGCGGGCCCGTTGTTCCCCGGCACTCTCTTCCGCGTCGGCATCAATATCGCTCCCCTCCTCTTCCAAAGTGTTCGGAAAGCGAAATTCCCCTCTTTCCGAGCCAGGGGTTGCTAGTTCATTGTTCGTAGGTCGGAAATCGTTCAGCGTCGCACCGCTCGCCGAGCGAGTATGAGAGGTAAACGAAGGCGAGGCTGCGAAAGACTTCAACTTTGTCAGCAGGGATTGTCTACCCTTCAGACCCGCATCCACATCATCGCCTTTGACCGAAGGTGGCCTAGATGGAGATGGCTCGGCAGTATCAACATCCGGAGTGTCTTGAGTAAATTGTACGCTTGGGCGGCGAGGCGAGGCAGATGATCCTAGGGCTGAAGTTGGCGACTTTCGGCTCCCGGAATTTTGCTGGTTTGCCGTTGCATCGTTCGGTTGTCGAAGGCTCAGCGAGGCCGCTTTGTTGGTGGGACTGGCATTCGACGTTTCCTCCTCTCCAGAATCGCCGGCATGCTCTGCGCGCGTCTTTCCTTTTGTGTCGGAATGAACATCTTCCACACCTCTGATCGTTGGCGTAGCTTCCACCTGATCCCCGCCATCAACTCCATCCGCTCTGTCTGCATCATCCTTTGTCGAGGAAGGGGAGGGAAGCGGCGATGACAGCTTCAAGCTGTCCAACGACATCGGTTCGGTTTGTCTCGAGTAATACCGATTTGGGGTGTTCTCAGAGCCCCTCGCTTCCGAGGGATTGACCGTAGAGTCGGTCATACTGCGTAAAGGAGCGCAATGTCAGTGGGCAAAGCAAGAAGGCTTTCAGGGGAGGAAGGGGATTTCGAGGGAAAGCAAGAGCGCGGGGAAGAGCAGCGTACATGCGGATCGAAAGGATCCTGTTGGAACGGGTTTCGGATCTTCAATTAGACGGACATTCTATATCTAATACACAGCAGCCGGAGGACGGAACAATAGACTGATCGGCAAGATCAAGCAGTAAAGAGATATTAAGGGGATAGTCGACAACACGGCCGAAACGTCTGGATGTGAAACTTGAAAGGAGCGTTGGGTTTAGCAGCGACTGTGGTTAGCCGCGGTGGAGTCCGCCCCATAGAAGAAGCGCAGGTCTGACTGGAGACGGAAGGCCCGCTTTGGCGCAGTTCTGCTGGTTCTGGTCGGCTTGGGACACGGAGGAAAGGGGGATGGATCAATCATTCAATCAATCAATGAATCCCGTATGAGAGATCAGAATGGGGGCTGCTTTGCACCTGCATGACCATGTACTAGTACAGTAAGCAGTTAATTACTTACTTGCAGTAAGTAGGTACTCCGTAGATTGGCTGGGTTTCGGCCTCGGTTGCAATAAGTGCAACCCCAAGTATACAGTAGGATAAATAATAGCTCCCCCAAGAAGAAAGATGGAAGAGAAAAAAAAAAAGTCAAGGTACTCTTTCCTTCCTTCTTGCTTTGAGAGAAGACAAGAGACCGCTAAGGTTCAGCGGCCTACAAAATACGCAATACGATGTGTAAGTTCGTTCTAAATCGGGCTGCGGATTACGTCGCCGTCACACTTGCTTTCGAAATACTTGGTTACTGGGAGGTACGGAATACTTGAGAGGTACTTGCAAGGTACTCCGTGCGGGAGAGCCCAAGCACAACCGGGCCACAACCGTGGTACTTTGGCCTTAAGGCAGCAATCGCCCCAGCACCAGCCACAGGATGGCTGGTTACGGGTTTCATACCGTTTCAAAACCCAACCCATGTGGATAGGTAAGTTACACAGTCCGATCCTCGGCGTCGAAAAGGGTCACCGCTTAGCTCACCGCTTGACAATGAAGACTATTATCTAGAATTGTGGTACTTTTAGTTAGCTGTAAATCTTCAAGCTGCAATGCTAATATGTAAATGCTTATGTGAAAAGTAGATGCAACTGTCACCCGAATCTCCTGTTGTAATCCGGGTACGGCGTGTTCCCAAGTACGGCCCTCCTCCCTAACAGTAATCCGCTTCCTCTTAGCATTGGAACAGTTCAAGGGTATTTTACAGACCAGCTGGGTGTTCGCATAACCTGATACTATATAGCTGAGCATACTGGCAGGTAGGGTATTTTTTAATGTGCAGTGCATACCCCGTCATATTCAGTCCTGTTTTCTACTGGGAGAGTTCCTCTGGCACTTCTAGGAATACTAGTGGAGTAGTGCTTCTCTCGCAGCACCCCTCGGTAAAGTGCCTCCGAGGCAATTGGATATATATCGGCAAATTACTTACCATCGCCGATCAACCAAGACCCCCAACCAATTCCTCGTCACTGCGTTATAGCCACCCAGCAAAAGAAAACTCCAAGACATCCACAAAGCAGGCAACAAAGTATGGCTGATCCCATAAAGACACTTGACAACGCAAGCCGCTACGGCGATGCTTCAACCGTCTCGCGAAAGACATACCCAATTGCGGGGATCCAAACCACAGTCTACGGTCTTGATGAACTCCCCACACAAACCTCCGACATTGCCTGTCTGTGGCTCTTACATCCCAGAGGAGGTACCCAAGAACGTATGACCGGCATTGGGACGACCATCATCGCGGATTGGAATTCCAGGAACCCCACCAAGGGCCTTATTGCTGTCGCATTCGATCAGCGGAATCATGGAACGAGAGAGGTAGATCCGCTGGCCAATGAAGCATGGAGACAGGGAAACCCTCGCCATGCCCAGGATATGTTCTCAATCTTTCGTGAGTTGAGTCACTTGCTACCAGAGGAAAATGTCGACTCTAACACTTTCCTTCTGGAACCACAGAGGGCACTGCCCGAGACGTATCTCTTCTGATCGATTATCTCCCCTCCTATGTGTTCCCCCACTCCGATCGCAAGATCGTCGATAATCTGGTGTTGGGTGTTTCCCTGGGCGGCCATGCAGCATGGAGCTGCCTTCTGCATGAACCTCGCATAAGCGCCGGGGTCGTCGTCATCGGCTGCCCGGATTACGTGAATCTGATGGCTGATCGGGCCAGATTATCGAAGTTGCCATCGTGGACGAGCACCGACACCCCAGGTTCTCAATTCCTTGGCTCTGAGGCTTTTCCTTCATCTCTACTGGATGCTGTGAAGAAGTACGATCCGGCCGGTCTGTTCTTGAGCCACGTGAAGTCGGCCTCGTATGTCGGTCCTCTTCGCAGTGGACCATTGCCGGAGCCGACGGAGAGCGAGAAGGCTGCGTTGCGACCGCTCCTTGCCCGTTCCATAGCCGGAAAGAGGATTCTTAATTTGGCCGGCGGCAAGGACAAGTTGGTCCCTTATCATCGCGGGGAGGTGTTTTTGGCTTGGTTAAAGCAGGCTGTCGCTTCGCAGGGCTGGTTTGCCGATGGTGCCGTGACCTTCGAAGATATCATCGATGAAGAGGCTGGGCATGATATGACCGGAAAGATGATGGATGAGGCAACTCGTTTCATTCGTGAAACCCTGGAGGCCAGCAACAAAGCCCCAGAGAAGGTGGGGTCGGTGCGTGAATCGAAGATCTAGAACTCTTTCTCTACTCGGGATGTACTACGACCGTTGTTTTACATAGAGACCTACATAAACGTCCCTGTACCTCTACATCACATAACATAGTCCTCTACCACAATCACCATATTATCATTATCATACGGATACCACGGGAGGGTTACAATAACCGGGCGATGGGCATGGTCTAGAGCCATAACCCCCGAACTTTGGAGTAAAGAGGAAGGTCATAGTCCAGTGGTCTACGCATTCTGTAATTGCTGCAACTCCAAAGGGCATTTCAGATCTGGGATATACATCCTCAAAACCGGCGCTGCTGGCTCATACTCAAAACAACCGTATTCAAGAGCCTTGCCCTCATGCTCAAAGATAGAAGCCATAGCCCGGCATACTCTGTAGCAGCATAGATGGGGGAAGAGCGAACATATCCACAGAAAAAAAAAGTTGTCCTCCTTTATGGTATTGTTCAATAATAGAGCGTGATCGTAAGGGCATCCGGAGGCCATTCTTTGCTCGTCACAAATAGAAACCCTTTTGAATTTGTAAATACACGGATCAAGGTGCCCGATCCGCGGCTCCCATTTTTTGTTTTCTCATTCCCCGGGGAGAATTCGAATCTCTATTACACCGAATCGTAGCCAGCGCAGCACCTGTCCCGGTTTTTCATCCTCCAAGTGAAATCCCGGACTTTCCACACTTAAGCAACGAGCTCAACAACACCACCGGCAGCCTTGATCTTCTCCTCAGCATCCCGGCTGAAGTAGCGAGCGCGGACGACGATGGGGACCTCGGGGAGACGGCCCTTGCCGAGAACCTTGGAGTAGCCGAGGGGAAGGAGGTCGATGACGGGGGCGGTGTCGGTCTTCTGGCCGCTGAGGTAGGCATCACGCTTCTCGGCGGGGACGAGAGACCACAGCTATATTGGGAAGACAATCCATCAGCCATCCACATCCTTGAAAACGTATTCCAATCTCGCATGTTCTTGCGCTCCTGTTCCATTCCCTCTCCCATTCTTCTTCCACGGTATCTGATAACAGATGCACACCCCTTGCGCCTTCTCATCTTCCCTAATTCTCTTCGCCACATCTCGATTGGGATCGTAGTGTCGAGTTTGAACGTACCTTGTCAAGGTTGATAGTGGGCTTCCAGAACTGCTGCTGGGTCTTGTGGAAGTACCTCATACCGACCTTACCGAAGTAACCGGGGTGGTACTTGTCGAGGTTGGTGCGGTGGTGGTGCTGACCACCGGCCATACCACGACCACCGGGGTGCTTACGGTGCTTGCCAATTCGACCGTAACCGGCCGAAACATGACCGCGGCTAAGGAAGAAGACACAAAAGTCAGTTTTCTTGTTGTTCTGGTAGACGGGGCGGACGGTGGTCGGATGAGGCCTCAAGCCTGTCGCAAATTGACCACGACAAACGAAACGGTCGACCACCGGAAGCGAAAGGGAGAAGTTGGAGCGACTCACGCTTTCCTTGTCTTCGAGAAACGGGTAGGCATCTTGTCGACGGTGCTGAGCTCGACAAGACCGGTCTGAGGGTTGGCGATGGGGGGATGCGGTCGTGTATACTGCTGGCTCAGATGTTGAAATCAAGGCTCCGGGGCGGCTAGAGTGTGCGCTAATTCGCTTGCCCTAACTTAGGGCCAACCCTGCGGCTTGTCTTTGGCGGCTGGGCGCAGTATTATCACGTGCCTCAGCGCCTGCGCCACTAGATTACATAATCGTTCATAGAACATTCCCTTGCTAGATAGATTTACGGAGTACTATAGATCTACTAGATCGGTTCCTCTCAAATAATTTCACTGACGGACGGGAAATAATGTCCATAACGTCCTGAACATATGTTCAATCGTATTAGCGGTAATTGTCCTGAAATGGTCTATTATTCTACTCGAGATCAATTCAGGTTGATTTGCTGGCAAAAAACTTCGCCAAACTCTGAATCGTAGCACCAGCAGGTCGTTGGACCGAACTGCCTACCATACTCTGTTTGATCCAAGCCGGTAGCTTCGCTTGGATACCGGGTTTATCATAACGTCTGTCAATCAGAACAATCGCCGCATAGTCGTTACGGTGCCTGATGGCTCGCCCAATACACTGGTTCACTGCTCGCATGCACGAGTTCTCATAGAAGTCCCTCCCTGCTGCTTTTGCTGCTGATTGCCGGCTTGCCTCAGAGCCTGCAGCTTGCTGGTATGTTTTCTGCTCAATATACTGTATCTTGGCTTGCCAAACTGCACTCCGTATATTCGGAAAGGGCAGTCCCACAATCAACACAGCCCGTCCGAGTTTGTCAGAGAAATTGATGCCTTCTGACAGCTTGCCACCCACAACGGACAGGAGAAGCGCACCTCTGCCAGAATCAACAGTTTTGGCATACTTCTGGAGCAGTTCCTCGGTAGTGACTGTCATGTCCCGGGACTCAGACAGTATGGGCTTCTTCTGCCCAATCAAGCCATACACAGTCTGGCCTTGTTCGCCTAGCATTGGCTTCTTCCAGATGCTCAGGACCCGGCCAAGGTAATCGTAGCTGGGAAAGAATGCCACTACTCCATCGGGGATGACATGGCAGAGCGTAGCTATCGTCCTACCAAGATCCATGATCTGAATGCCGACGTAGCAATGGTCAGCTTCTTTTCAGATAGAAAACAATGCTAGACGTCAAAAGAGGAAAGCTCTCACCATTTTCTCAGAGTCACGGACATCATAGGTAAAGTCAAATTCTGAGCCTTGAACACCCCGTACAAGTGTGTGAGCGATCAGATTCTCTGGTGGTATGACATGGCCGTAGCTGAACGTGTCTAAGCGACTGGCTGGGACATACGAGAAGAGATGGTTCATGTAGTCTGTCATCTGCCCAATTTGTGAGATAACAATACACTACCATTGATGGCCGTTGAAACTTACAGGTGACATGGTCCCGCCAGCCAATATGACGGCTCTTGCATCCTCCACAAGCTCCCGAAATTGATTGGTGGGGTCTAAAAGCATGTACTTCAATTGGATATCTCCCTGTTCCTTCAAGTAGAACAATCGCCCTTCGGCAGAGGGGTTCATCAAAGATAGAAGAAATCCCTGTATGTGAAACAGTACGGGCACCGTAGGATTCCCTGTCCCCTGCTTGTTTGACGGATCTTTAGTGAACTCGACATATCCATCAACTTTCCTTGCTAATTTGCTTTCTTGTAAATATCGACTCAATTTATAAGGATTGATCTGATCAACCCCCTTTCCGGACATGAGCTCAGAGGCCAAAACTGGGCCCTCCGGTGCCTTTCCACTCTCTAGGAGTGACCGAAGATGAGCAGCGATTGAACTGAGGAGCCGGATGACCTGAGCAACATAGCTCCTGTTTTTCCCCTTCAAGCGAGTTTTGAATTTGCGGGCATAGATAGTCAATTGAGAAAGAGAGGTCTGCAATTGTGAAAGCGTCACCGTTACCGAGTGTATATTGGATATTGCGTCCATCAAATTATGGGCTTCGTCGATTATAATGATATGCCCCTTGACAGATAGATTGAGAGCCTCTCTCGCTGAGCGTTGCAACAGCAAGGGATATGGTAGTGTCACGATCTGCCACTCATCAGCTACTAGGTTGGTTGAAGGTCGGACTCGAAGGCAACAAACCTCACTATGCTTAACAACAGAGCGGGATGCATAATAAGGGCATATTCCGATCTTCTTGCCAAGCTTTCCCAGGTCCTCAATGTCCTTCACTGTTGATAATGCATGGTCCCGGAATTGAAGAACCTGTCTTTCATCTTCTTTGGATGGCAGAAATGGACATTTATGCTGAGGATTCACATTGGGCTGTTGTAGATCTAGACAACGCTCATTAATCGCTGTTGCATTTTCCAATGAACTGACACGGGAATTAATGCAGAGGTTCTTCCGAGAACCAAGAGTGACATGCTTCACACGCTCCTCGAGTTCTTCTTCTCCTGTCAAGTCAGTACTCAAAAAGTCCTTCGGTACACTCCATGGCATTTTAACGCGTCTCAGTTCACCGGCAAATTGGCTTAACTGGGAGTGTGTCCGGGAGCAATAAAATATCTTGACTTCGTCATTGTCTTCATCGTCACTTCCTGGCTTGGCGGTCGAAAACTGTCCTTTAAAGCGTTCCAACAATTCTAGTGTACTAGAAGATAGTTCGTTAGTATGGGCCAGCCCACTCCGCTGTTTGCTATGCTCTTCATTCTCGCTGTCGTAGTCATCCAGCGCAAAGTGATCTTCGCTTAGCCCACCAGTTTCCGTTGATTGTATACTGTATTTCTACACGGACGAATTTTGAGTCAGCCAATATATCGAGACAGAAGTATTGCTCAACCTCATACCAGCTTTTTCCGGGACCCTTCGGGGTTTTCTAGCGCGATCCTTTGCTGTTCTTCTTCCTTTCTCGTCCTTTCTAGTCTCTCTTCAAGCTCCTTCCTTTTCTCGGTCATCTTCCGGCTCGACTCACGCCTGGCAAAATCCAGCATCCATTCAGGTTCGTCATCATCACCTAGAGTACGATTAATGAAGAATTTCAGCTATCCAGTAACGAGGAGTCTTACATGTGGCATTGTCAACCGCTGTCTGGAAGGCAGAACGCTTGTGGTCTCGCAGCCACGTCAAGGAACCGCATATTAAACTTAAGGATTTTCCCTGGGAAGTTGTTTAGCCATATTCCATGAACCCACGGCACATTTCGGTGAATTCTCAAGCTTGTGCTACCTAAGCCAGGGGTTCCTGGGCTACTAGATAGTATATGGTGACGACCAAGAATTACCTACTGTATACGTTCGCCTGGAATCGAACTAGTAAAAGGAAATAAGAATCTAACTTACAGTTCCTGGGATTGGCTATATTAGCTGCAAATGGACCTAACACGAAGCTTACACGGCTTACCAGTAGGTGACTCGAAAACAGCAACTTTTCCTTGTTCGAGACAAGAGTATAGCGCCCGCATCAACTGCAGTTGGATGTCATAAGGCGAATAAGGATGATGAAAATCGGTACGCTGGAGTTCCATTGGTGGTGTTGCAGCCCGAAGCTGAGCACTGGCCAAATTAAACGGCAGCCCGAAGTTGATGAGACAAAACAAAGTCTATATGCTCAGGTGGTGGAACACCAAGCACCAATGCTTTTACCACTGTCAGTACTTGATGCCCGTGACGGTATACTTTCAGACTGCGTTCGACCAGACAAGGAAGACAATTTTAATCACTTGCCAGGTAATGTTTCAGAAAGAAGAGGATCATGTGTTAGGATAGCATCTCACGTCGCTAGGTGTAGACTATAGGCTGATATGCCTATGTATAGTGCACTATATGGAGGGGAGAGCCGCGCCTAGTAACCTACCCCTACTAGTCACTCTCTGATGGTGGTTACACATTACCAACAAAGGTGAAAATTCCAGGCTTGGGTCCACCACAGAGGATGGTCAACAGATGCCAAGAGATTACTTACCTAAGTAAACTCGAAGAAAAGGTTGGACCTCTTGTTTCTCAATGACACTGCATGTGCGATGTGCCTGTAGATGCTGTATTTTGCGCTCTCGCTTTGCTCAGCAATTGTTTTCCACACGAGTCATTATTATGGATTGAAGATGACTGGCCCAAAGAGAGGAAGAGGAAGGGGGAAGTCATTGCGGGAGTACCTGTCAGGTATGGTAAGATTCCTTCTGGAAGGGGCTTCCATCACTAGTCTAACGGACGCCTTGGGCGCTTAGTCCAAGACAGAGTGGTAGTGCGATTGTCGCGATAAAAATAGCTGGCCATCCATCAGGCTGAAAAGTAAGGTTCCCATGAGAGTACTAGTACTTAGCATCCCAGTTCTGATTCCTCCTTCCACCTCGAATGTTGAATCAATCGTTGCTTACTTTCTGCCCCTAAACTTCTGCTTCTCACTCCCAGGATGATGGTCAGGTATTGTAATTATACATGGACAGTATGTAACTTATCTTATCCCTATGTAGTTAACTCCTCCGTAACAGTTACTTAAGTTAATTAACTAAGTAAATATTTGGGCTAGTGCCTGCTTACCTCACATCAGATAGATAACTAATTAACTAACTAGTAGTTAACTTATGTAGATAGATAATTAGGAGTTACTATTTTAATTTCCAAGAATATTCCGGCATCAGTAAGATTAATCTCCTCTACTACTTAAGCAACCGATGTGGATTACTTGCTCGTAATAATTTTCGTTAAAAATGAACAAGTAACGATCTTTATCGTCTTCTAGTTTCTTCTTCAATTGTTGCCTGCACTAGTTTCTTACTTGAATGATAGTGAACTAGATACCCGAACCATGGAGAGGAAGAAATGATGATTAATACGAGGACTACTTCAGTATTAGTGGTCCAGTCATTATGGAGTAAGTAGTTGCCTGTGGAGGAACCTTACTAGTATTTATTAGAACTCCATACTACTACTAGTGTTACTACTATGGTACTACTATCTACGTACTGGAACTGCCTGGTGAGGCTGCAAGGAAGTCCGTACTGTTAGTACTGTGGTGTGGTGGTTCCTGGCCTTGTCTTTTCTTTCCCTTTCCCCCCCTCCAACCCCTCTTCCCTATGACAAACCCCCTCCCCTCTTTCTCTCGTACTCGACAGTAAGATTAATCTTATTCTTTGTATCACCTATACTGCGTATCATGGCCACCTAAATTAGGGCCAGGGAAAATAACCAGACTGTTAGCGTCCATTCCCAGACCCAAATGGATATATTACACACACTCTTTCCCTGTCTAGTTATATCTCCTTTGCCTGCTAGAGAATTCTTAGTTAGATGTGAAGAAGCCCTTGCGCGCGCCCTCTCTTCCTTGGTGTTCCGTTATATCTTCTTAGTCCAAATCAGTTCAGTAACAGTAGTTAGTCGTGACTGCGCCCCCTTCTTCCCACCCCCTCCCCCTTCTCGGAGAACGACTTACTAGTTAGTTAGTCCTCCACCACTACTCGGCAGTCCCCACGCCGGCTCTACTTTTTTTTCTCTCGAGAGAGGTTCCGATGAACCGCTGAGCCCAGCCAAAAGTGCCAAACACGCTATTGACTGGCGCCCAGTCCGAGACGAGTGACAATTTATTTTTCTTTGCCAATTTCAGCAGGGGTAAGGTGGAAACAAAACTAACACGGGTGAAAAAAGCAATACCGTCCAATAAACGGAGAATCTCGCCGACGATGAATAGGCCACCCCAAGGTCACGGTCAGCCACGGCTGGGTGCTACCTGGTATCCAGGGGCCCAGGATGATTTCTATATGCCGGAGGTCATATCCCCCTCTCCTCAAAGGTGCGAAACCTCCCCTCGGATGACAGCGGTCATAAGAAAGAATAAAAAAGAAAAGACATTCTTCAGACAAAAAAAGGGGAAACCACCACACCTCCCCCAAATAGAAAACCCTGTCTTTTCCTGGCCTTGTACGGAGTACCTAGGTTGGCGTGTTGCTAATCGATAAATCCTCCTTCCATTAGGGTCATGCCAGAAGTCCCGGAGAACATGCAGGATAATATCGCGCACCTCGAACACGAGGCCCGGAACCCCCACCACAACCAGTATGATCGTTCGCGTTACCCTGAACGAACTACCTCTGCGGTCGCTCAGGGTCAGGCTTCTCCAACCGCCGCTTACGATTCCGCTCGTTTTGAGCAAGCCGCTGTCCACGACACTATGGACGCCCCCAACTTTTCGCCATTCCCAGTCCTGCGCAATCCTCCACCTAACGTCCCCCCGACCGATGAGCAGAGGGAGGTAAACTTGGAGAGGGCCCGCATGGCCGTGCTGTCGTCAAATGATCCTGATATGCAGTTGGCCTGGGCGCAGGATGCGCTCGCCTATGTGGAAGTTGCTATGCAAAATGAGGCTCGTCTGTCGTTGATTCAGCCCCCGCGCCCTCAGACACCTCCGGCGGAGCGGCAGCTGAAACTCGATGCGATGAATATCGTCAACTTTCTAGCGGAGCAATATCATCCCAAGGCCGAATTCATCAAGGGAATGTGGCTGGAGTTTGGCAAGTTTGGATACCGCGTGGACAAGAAGGAAGCTTTCCGTGCCTATTCGAGAGCTGCGGAGAAAGGCTACGCCAGAGCCGAGTATCGTATCGGCATGCAGTTCGAGAGTTCGGGAGAGCCAGAGAAGGCTATCAAGCATTACGAGAAGGGAGTTGCGCTCGCAGACTCGGCTTCATTCTACGTATGACCCCTCCCTATTATCGCGTCCCAGCGAATGCTGATGTTTTGATCAATAGCGCCTGGGAATGATGATCCTTCTTGGACAGCATGGGCAACGCCAAGACTACCAAATGGGTCTTAACTATATCAGCCTTGCTGCGCAGTCCTGCGACGAAAATGCGCCTCAGGGAGCTTACGTGCGTCCGCCTACTTATCCTCTTGGTGACCAGAGCTCTAACATGTTGTGTAGGTTTACGGTATGCTTTTGGCACGAGAGCTGCCCCAGGTAAACGTTCCTGAGCAGTTCTTGCCGCTGGATCTGAATGCTGCTCGCGTCAACATCGAGAAGGCTGCTTACCATGGGTTTGCTAAGGCCCAAGTCAAGATGGGTGCGGCCTATGAACTGTGCCAGCTTAGCTGTGATTTTAACCCTGCATTGTCCTTGCACTACAACGCGCTGGCTGCACGCCAAGGCGAGCCAGAAGCGGAGATGGCTATCAGCAAATGGTTCCTCTGCGGCCATGAGGGGGTCTTTGAAAAGAACGATGAGCTGGCGTTCATGTATGCTCAACGTGCGGCTCAAAGTGGATTCCCCACCGCTGAGTTCGCCTTGGGATATTTCTACGAAGTCGGTATCTTCGTTCCGGTGGATATCAAAGAAGCCAGGAGCTGGTATGCCAAAGCTGCAGCAAATGGAAACAAAGACGCGACCGGCCGGATCGATAGCATCTCGCGCTCCAAGACCCTATCGAGGAAGGATCATGAACAGGTTGCGATTGCCCGGATCAAGTCGACTCGCTATGGCAATGGCCCGCGAGGGCCCCCGATGAAACCGCCTCAGGAGAATCTCGAAATGCCCGATCCCTCCAGAATGACTCTATCAGATAACCCACCCGCCGCGCCTGCTCCTTACCCTGACAGACCGGGATCTCGTGCTCGACCTGTGTATCCGCCAGGATATCCCATGGGTGCGGACCCCCGGCCAAGTTCTGCATTTGGAATCAACCCGAATATTCGGTCGAACGCGCCGAACTACAACCGTGCTGCTTCGTACGGGCCTAGCGCCATGGGATACCGCTCACCAGGCCCCAGTACGCCATCAACGACTAGCCCCACAAGCCCAGCGTCGGCGGCACCTAAACTCGATATTGGCTACTCAGCACCCCTCGAGAATCCTCACCCCGATGCTCGCAGACGTCCTCAGCGACTGGACAACATGCCTCCCCCAGACAGGAGACCTGTGCGGGGCCCTGCTTCTCCCCACTTCCAGGGTGGACCGACGGGCTCTCCTAGGCCGCCTGCCTCGCCTTCCACCGCATATCCCCCACGGACTGAATCCATGCCGCCGCCCGGTGCTGCAGCGACGCCCCGGCCCTCATCATCATCTGCTTCCACACCTAAGCCTCCTCCCTCAACTTCGACTCCCAAGCCTCCCTCCACGGCTTCGAGCACATCTAGCCAAAAACCCGCACCCGCTAAACAGCATGGTAACCTGCCAGGCAAGGGCCCCAAAACATTCGAGGAGATGGGTGTTCCGACTGTCCAGAAAGACAATGATTGCGTATGTAACCTCCTTTCTTCAATATCTCAGTTTTAAAGACGCTGGCATCAAGCTAACTACGCACAGATCGTCATGTGATACCCTTGAAGATCTCTTACTTTTGGTCTTTCTTCATCTGTGCCATATTCGAAAGGACAAAAAAAAATTTGGGGAGTGGGTTCTTCTTTATTATATTTTTTACTTCTCCCTTGCGTACAGGATCTATTAATGTAGATGGTTTGGAGTGTTGGAAAATTGGATGGTCAGTAGACGAGAAGATGCATAGTGTTTTCTTCCCGTGTCTTAGGCCATCTAAGGATTGCATATGTCGTTCACCCTGTTGTCCTGAATCTTCCCTTTTTTACTCCAGTTTGCTCTTGGATGTGATGTTTTGTTTCGGTATCATGATTTACATGCAGCGGCGTAGGACCAAGTATCTTGCAGCATGACCAGGCCTTTGTCTGTCCTTTCTCTTCTGGCCCCTCCACAATTTCAGCTCGCGTGTTCAGCCTGCCTGAAGGCAACAGATTTCTTTTTTTTTTTCCTAGATAATTTTAATCCACTACCTTCCATTTTCAGATGAGAGCCCTGTCGTGTGGCCCACGTGATGATCCAGGCATACAACTGACCTAGTATCATTCGCTGAATCCCACATATCATATCTTGGTTTATCCTTCCCAAGTCTCTCTTCAATCTTGCTCGCCAGAATCCGAGCAACGCAATCCGACCTCTCCATGGCCCAGAGAAAGGCGAAAAATGAGAAGCAGCTGGGTTCCGGATGTGAGCAACTCACAATCTTTGGAACTACAGTTGAGCTGGCTTATGCACAGCTAACAAAGTGAATCTGGAAAAGCCGCTGCTCCTGATGGTTCTGCATTAGTGCTTGAGTATCTCCGTGAGCTTACTGCACCATTTGCTAGTCTGCTTGCTCTGAGGAATCTTGTAATTGTTGACCGTGCTTGCTTGATAGGAAAACAAAAGTATAGATCTCTTCCACTCAGTTGATTAGGCTGGTGGGCATTGTTCATTTAACTAATAAGTTGTGGGCTGTCAACGAGACAGTCGTCCTTATTCGGTTGGTTTCCATCATGATATCAATGATGGTAATAAAGGAAGGTAGGGAAAGGTCTTCCACGGCTGATGTACAGCAGGCTACCGAGCTTTCGGTGAATCTGCACAATAGGATTACCAAAGGTAGGCTCCGTTTTACCAAGGCGAGACCTTTGTGAGACTTACATGCTAAAGCTGTATATATGATAGCACACGCTGCGAAAGCTCTACGGGAACTACATCAGAATAAACAAATTGAAGGACGGGCTGCTGGTAAGCAGACCACAAGCAATATAAGGATAAATATGCAATGGGATGGAAAAATTGATTCGCGATACATTAGGGAAACAGATAGTATATCACGCCCTCCAGGAGACGTCCACCGAAGTGACGCCCGAGATCATTGCAGCGTTGGATGAGCAGGCTGAGAAACTGCAGGAGCAAGTAACCAGTCTCGAAGCTGCAGAGAAAAAGACGCGAGCGGAGCTAGCAACCATCTGTGCAAGACCCTTGCTCTCCGAACTTCGACGGGATGTTGGTCAGTTTGAGCAAGAACATGAGGCAATCCGTGCACGCCTGGTGCAGGCGCGAGGGAGCGACGCAGGGACTGTACCCGTGCAGGTAAAAGTGGATGCTGAAAGAGACTGGAAACATTGGCAGAATCAGGCCAAGGTGCGCGGTCGGATTTGTCGCGATCTATGGCGGATGTGTTCGGAAGTTGTGCCCGACGACATGGGCCGAGAAGAACTATGGGTAAGATGGATGAACACCACTGGTCTGCATTGATATTGAGACACGCTGACGATGTCGAGGTGAAGGAGAATCTGGGATTGGAGGGACCATTTCTCCAGTGATGATGAAATTGAGAGGCAGAGGTCTACCTGTTCGACCTGGTCACAAGCAAACACTGGTCCACAATCCTGAATCTTCCTATGGCCATTGATACTATACACTGTATGACCCGTGATTTAATTCAATGGAAATTACTATTGCTCAATCGGGCATTTGAAAGGTTTACGGAGTACACAGTACATGGTACATGGTACGGAAAAGATGCAGATGTTGTGCCACCAGCTACAACGTGAGAGTGTGGGGACGATCCGATAGCGAGGACTAGATATCTATCTGCTTGGTCGGAAGCCGCTCCGCCCTGCGCGGGATCAGGAGGGTGTGATTTGACGAGCAGAACCCGAGGAGAGCTAAACAGCCTAGGCCGGGGAGCTGCTTTGAGGCAAAAAGCTAGGGCCGCAAGATGGGGGTTAGGGGGACGATCAGATGAACAATCCGACAGGTGTCATCCGAACGAATAATTGGATGATCTTCATGATTCAACAAGGAACAGTGAAGCATGGGGCTGTCAACTGAGGGGGAGGAAGGAAGCATGCGACACAGTCAGGAGCTGTTGCAGACTCGATCTGACGCCACCAGGGAGGCTTTTGACGCCGGTTTGCCTTTCTGCATCGGGAGACCGTCATGCGCCCAGGGCCCTGCGTTGTTTTGGCACAAAGAGACAAGGCGTGAAGTGATGTTGGGTGATGGACGTAAATCTTCCATTGTAGTAGCCAGCATGAATGTCCAGCAATTGGATTTCCGGATTGTACTGTATGGAGAGATATGTGGAGATCGTACTAGAGAAGGGTGAGGAGGAGGAGAGGAGGGTGTATGGTGGAAAGGTAGAAGAGAAAGAGGGGGGAGGACAGTAAAAAGGGAAAATTAGTGGGGAGGGTAAAAAACGATCAGAAATTCAAGATTGAGAGTATTTGAAACTAAATAACTAAATAGTTGCAGCTTTCTTAATCACCGTCCATGTGTTTTCCCTCTCTCCCTCTTTAGAGTAGAAGTCTGCCCGCTCTCTTTCTCCTGAAGCTATTCATTATTATTCACTCGAAAAGTCAACATTTCATTTTGTTTCAAGAATTTCGATAGGACTAAATTGATTGCAAGATTCTGCCTGACATAAACTAAAAAAAAATATCTCAAAGGTTTTGGAGGCAATCGGGCAACTACTACGTACATACGTACTAAAACGAGAGGTGTAAGCATTCCCAACCGGTCGGGAGATTGGAAAACGGAGACTTGAGACTTGAGAACTAATTGTTCACAATCTAGAGAAGTGAAACAGAAAAAACCCCCTTCAAGTGAACTATAACTATTGATTTAATTAATTCACTTTGCGACTACACCGCCAAAGCAGGCGTGGCTTCTCTCTCACTCTACTTTTCGGTGATCTTCTCTCCTCCTCATCCCATCATCCATCATCCATCATCCCCACCAGCAAAAACCAAGCCGTGGAAATCTCGCCCCCCTCCTCCTTCCCGATAAACCCCTCCGGATTTTTGTGCTCTTCGCCGCCCGCCGTCTTCTGCCGCCGCCGAACCCAACGCCGCTAATCTCGTTCGCTGCTACTACTACTGCTACTACTGCCAACTGCTGCTGCTGCTGCTCTTTCTGGCGATGCAGCTGTCGGCTTCTCGCAATCCTCCACCTCCGCAACCCCTTCCTTCTTCTTCCTCTTCCTCCTCCTCGTCCTCTCACGCTGCTCGTCCTCCACCCCGTGTATCGGGTGAGATGAAAAGCCGCGCTCCTCTCCCGGTCCCCTCCGGCCCACAGGCTCTCCAGAACGGCCATTCCCGCAACGTCTCGGGCTTCGACATGGCTGCCCGCAGCCCTCCTAACCAGAGCAGTATGTTGTCTCCTATCTTTCTCGTTCTCTGCCTCCGCCACCAACCCCGGCCGCTTCGCACTGGCACGCGAGACTGGTCGATTCCTCTGCACTCCAGACGGTCTCTCTCACGCTCGTCCCGCTCGTCTCCATGGCTACTCGTCCCATTTACCACGAGTCTTGATTGAATGCTGACTTGAAGGCAACTGTCGCGCAGACACCAAGCATGTGCCTTGCAAGTTTTTCCGTCAAGGAGCTTGCCAGGCCGGGCCGGCATGTCCCTTCCTCCATTCTACCGATGCTGCGATCGATTATGCGCCCTGCAAGTACTTCACGAAGGTATGGAATTGGTGATATCATGACCGTTTGTTCCTTGCACCGAGCTATGCTCAATCGACCCTGATACCACATGGGGCTGACCGCATTTGGGGACAATTATAGGGAAACTGTAAATTTGGAGCAAAGTGTGCACTGGCGCATATTCTACCCGATGGTCGCCGAGTCAATCGTCCCAGTCCGGGAATGGCAATGGGAGGAAGTCATCTGAATCTGGGTGGGCGTGTCAACCCACAGGCCTATGTCAACCAGGACTCCGCGCTGACGAACTCGGTTCTTTCCCAACAACGACTGAATGGCCATGATCCCCGGTATAGCTCTCAGATGCCACCCCAGGATGAATATACTGCGTTGCATGCGCAACAGCAACAGCAGCAACAGCAACCCCCTTATGATGCCATCCCTACCATTGATACTGGATTGGTCTCGGATGCTGGCTCAAAGTACGGCTCACCAGTTGACGATCTGCGCTTCCCCATGTCGCCAAGCCATCATCATCATTTAACTGCACTTGATGCCCCACTTCCTGCATCTTTTGATAGCCAGGGGATCTCTCACGCCGCTCGTTATGGCCCGGTTGCGGCCTCTGTGCCCTCCAAATTCGGACTGGAGTTGTCTCCGCCAGCGCAGCGGATGGGCGCTGCGCCGTCAGATGCACTGCGGAATCTTCGGGATACAGCTTACGGCCCCAATGACTTGAGAAAGCCATCTTCCTCTTTCATCGGTTCATCACCGCCTGATCTTCTCAATGACAGTATCGGACCACGGTTCCTACACTCCCAGCGGCCTATAAAATCACGAGTGTTCTCTGCTAGCGTTCCTCGGCCCACTGCGTTGGATGACTGGGATGAAAGCAATTTCCCAATGGAGGAAGATTACTTGCCGATGAATCTGCATGACGACGTTTTGACACCGCAGGAGCGACTTCGGCGTTTGTCGCGCACTGACCACGATCTTAGTGGACTGGGCATGAGTGGGACAAGTTTCTCAAAAGTTGGATCGCCTCTTGCCTCTAGCCCATCTCGTTTCGGCGCTCTGTTTGCCAAACAGCGACAGAGAAAGGAGGAAGATGTCCACGGCACCTCGCTTACTCACATTGGATCTCCCCTTCGCGAATCTTCTCTCAACCTGGGAACCAGCCCCAGCTTAGGCCCAATTGGTAGCCGGAGTCCATCTCATCAGTCATCGATGTCAATGATCTCGCAACAGTTAAGCAGCGTCTCTCTGCACCCTGGCTCGGCTCGTCATTCATCATCTGTGGGTGCCAGCAGCCGCCTTGACCGGACCGTCTCATCTCCAGTTAGCACTAGCAAGATTGATGAGGAACAGGGCGACCTGGTCTTCTCCATGGAAGAAGAGGAGAATAATAAGCGAAACAGCGCTTCTTGGAGTCCACACAAGGCTGATTCCAATGACGACGACGTCTCAACACCGACGAGTAACTCTGGGTTCCAGCCATAAATTTAGCTGAAGAATACTGGTCTGGACCCAATACTCGGCCATTGCTACTGCATGTATACAATATACGAGGGGAAAAACCAAAAGCATATGATAACAAAAAAGGGCAAAGGGAAAACAAAAAAAGCACCACAGGTTGGTACCAGTCCATGATAATGTCCATAAGTCATCGTCATCATTAAAAAGGATATACCGAGTGCTCTAGGCTTCGGCGCTATTGGAGGGCATTTTGCATAGAACAGTTCAGCGATCTCCAGGAGTTATACAACAGCCCTCTTTCCTCTTTCTTATTAATCTTCTGTCTTTTTGCATATTGCGGGCTTTTAGACCGATTTGGGGAACTTGTTTTGGACACGCACTCTTGGTAGATCAGGTTGCGAAAGACCACTTCTTTCCATGATCCGAATATAGCTTATGTCTCCACCTCGTAGACAAGTCTACACTGACACTGTGCTGTTGCATTCTGACAAGCACAGATGGATTGCTAGGAGGGTAAAGATGTAGGTTGTGACACATATATACGAAGTTATAACGGAGTGACCTTCCTAAAAGAAAACATCGACTGCATTTAACGTACTACTATACATGAGAACATGGACTTGACGAACAAAATTCTTCTACGATTGAGTTTGGTCGGGTAACAAGAGGCTATCGAGGATGATGATGAAGACGACGACATCGCCATCCGTCCAAAGCAAGTTCCGTGGTTGTACCCTCATCCTACCTAGCTCGTGGCAATCCAGTGGGCAGTCTTTGTCTCACTGAGCATTCGAGGGAATTAAGCCGTAGTCGATTCAAGACAGTTCCTTCGCAACAAATCAAGCTTTAGGTCCAATGTCGCTCAGGTACATGGCGTTACCTTTAAGGCTGATGTAGCTCGGCGGCTGCGAGTTTGCCAATATCCGCGCGGTTTCCTGCTGGGACATGTGGTCGGCAAGAAGCCTTTGTTCGTGAGCTTTGGCATCTGCCTGTCGGATACTTTCCGCCTGGTCCTGATACAGGATTTCGTAAAGCTGACCTGTGCCCTGCGTGATCTGGGACGTCAAATTCTCCACGGCCCTAGTTGTCAGAGCGTCCACCCGAGCGGCGAGAGTTGTCTCAATGTCAGCTCGCTGTCGCTTAGCATCTGCTTCTCGCTCGGCCTGTTCATCCATCTCTTTGCGCTTCTTGGCCTCCACCAACCTTCTCCGCTCCTCTTTGGCAGCTAGATATTTGAGTGAATGGCCTAGCTTTTGCTGAACGGATGGGACTACATCAAGCGGCGGGCTGGAGAAGAATAGCACGCGACCCTGATCATCACAGTGGAACTGTTCACGTATGTCGGCCGGGATGGCAGCATTCGCAGAATCGCTCAAATGGAAGACTTCGATCGGACGAGGAGCGTTGGGATTGTACATTCCCATGGGAGGAACCGGCAACCGGCCGCCAGAATATGCGTTATATGGTGTTTGTTGAGCGGCCGCGTATGGGTGAGACATAGCCGACGTTTGGTAGGTAGCCGGGTGAGGTGTTTGAGGGACGAATGCGCTAGCACGCTTCTGCAAGGCAGGCTGATAAGCCTGGGTTGGGGGAATCTGGGGTTGATGGAAATTTACCGGAGGAGCTGGTGCCGGTGAGCTCTGGGCCGGAGGAATAGGTGCAGCTGGGGATCGGACCGCCGCCACAGTTCCAGCCGTCACGCCGGTGCTTTGATTGTCTATACTGGGCCGTCCAGACGACTGAGGGATCGATGGCTGTCGAGGTGGAGCTGGGGGCAAGGTTGGTGGTGGTAGGGACGGAGGTGGTGACGGGGTTGGTTCTGGAGGAGGAGATTCCTGGTAAAGCGTAGATCCTGTCAGTGATGCCAATAACCAGCAGTGGAAGAGGGGGGAAGGGGTTTGGAAAAGCTTACGTTCTCATCTCGAGGGCGGCGATGAACTGCACCGACGACAGGAGGAGCATTCTCGGCCCCCCAAGTCGGTTTGGGCAGGTCATCGGTCTCCTTCGCATCGCTCTTCAGCAAATGCTTGATTGGGCTGGGGATCTTCTTGATCCTTCGGGGAGCATCAAACAAATCCATCTCGTAGTCCTTTTCCCTGACTTCATCGGGGAGACAACTCGCCCACGTTTTAATCTTGTTCAGTTTATGCTTCTCTTCATTGTACCGAGCCTCGCAGACGTAGACATCTTTGTCGGGCGGAAGACCTCGGGGTCGACCACGATTATAGCGAGTGAAGAACATCACGAAGCAACGATCCACAATCTCCTCCACCCGGTGATCACGATATTGACCAGTCTTGACCACTTCATTGGGGTAGAAATGCTTCTCGAAGTGATGGACAGTTTGCTCGGGGCGATAGTACCAACAAGCGTTGATCCATTTCTCACCCTCAGAATCCTGCCATGTGCGGTAAATCTGGGCGACAATGGGTTTCGTCACGTCATTCGGGTTCTGAATATGTACCCAGTCGCCAACCTTCCACAGCTCGCTCTTGTGCAGGATGCCATCCGGGAGGGGCAAGCGTCCATCCTCCATCAAGTATTCACTGTCCGGCTTCTTCTTCTCGTGCTCCGCCAGTTTGCGTGCTTCCAATTGCAAGTCAACCGCATCCTTATAGATTTGACTCTCTGGCTGGTTGTAGGCCTTTGCGTTGTTAAACATGAGGTCCATGTCTCTCATGAAATGGTCCACGGAATTGTACTTCTTCCGCTTCGACTTCCGCTTGATAATGTCGATAGCAATGGGTTCTCTGATTTCCATGTAATAGTCCGGGTAGGTGGCCTTGTCGGGCAATCGCTCGAAATGTCGCACCTTGAGTTGGCTACCAGGGCCCTTCAGCTTCCGAATACCCTTTAAGACAGCTTTGATTCTAGCCTCCATCGGGGTATCAACACGCGGTGGTCGTCCACGTTTCTTCCTCAGTTCGGGATCGTTCGACTTTTGACCGTCATCTTTGCCACCGTCCCGTTTACCACCCGGACGAGGGCCCTTTTTCTTCTTCCGTCGGCTCTCATCATCCGAATCTTCCTCATCCTCTTCGTCTTCTTCATCCTCGTCTTCCTCTTCCTCTTCCTCGGGAAGAGGATCGGCCTCGGGGATTTCCCCCAGATCGGGAAGTTCAGCCTCTTCTGCAGTGATGATCCCTTGATCAACCAGTTTTCGAAACTCGGCAATGAAGACATCCTTTTGTTGTCAAAGTTGCAGTCAGCGAAACTGAACATGAACGCATCAATAGCCGAAAGTAGAGCCCGAGTTTCTACAGACCTTTATCACGAGCGCATCTTCGTACGCTTGGGATTTGGGGCGGTTGTAGGTTTGCGCATTGTGAGGGATCTAGCGAACAGGATTGACGTAAGCGAACTATGAACCCCGGATGGCGAAAGAGCCAAAGTGATGCAACATACTAGGGCACAGTCGCGCACGAACTCCGAGAAGCTCTTATACTCGCGCTTGTTGATCTTCTGTTTAAGAATGCTTAGAGCCATAGGCTCCTTGATGATATCGTAATAATCGGGAACATTGCGTTTGTTGACGCTTCGCTGGAACAGTCTTGATGGATCATGGCCACTGCAACCCGTGGGGAAGAAGGGGATTGTCAGTCTGAATTGAGGGACACGATCCAGCCTCGGACAGAATGCGACTCAGCGCGGCGAATCTCCTCCGGGGTCCAACCCGCAGGACAAGGGGATTGGAGAACTTACTCCTCTTCTCTGAATTCATAGATAGCCAAAACCACATTCATCATTGACCTCCATTGATCATCTGTGATCCCATCGGTGGGAGCCTGACCGTCGGTCTGGCCATCGTTCTCGATCGACTTGACCGGTTCCTCAGGAGCAGGTTGAGGTTGCGCTTGCGACGGCTCCGGTTCCATACTGTAGACGGCCGCGGCCACGCAAGAAACGGCACGCAGATCAGGGCCCAAACCCACTCGTCAGTCTTGATTTCAAGATATCCTGTCAGTCGAGCACATCGACAGCGGGAGCAGATCTGGGGTGCGAACAGGAGTACAATGAGCGCAAAAGCGCACAAGGACGAGATTCGCGCAGCAACTATGCTGACTCATCAGGTAGCTTCAAGAGTCTGTGACGATACGTGTAATATTACATACTACGTATAATAAGCGTCCTTGTTTTATTACATATACATACAATATACATACTAACATACCTTACTTCCAGGCTGCACCGCCACTTGCCCGCCTCCGCCGCGGTCAGGCATTATTACTATCGCTCCTCCTGCGGCGGAGATAAACCCTCCCCCGATTGTTCAGGTGCCGGGTTCGATTGCTGGTCAATTGTCTTCCCCCCAGTGTTTATCAATCACCCCGACTGCAGCAACTGTTCTTGAAGCAGATTACTGGACTCTGAATATCTTTCGCACACCCTCCAGAATCTATATCTATATACACTCCTTTACCAATCCACCACCCCGCTAGCGTTCGCGATACTACGTCACAAGGGAGAATGAGGATCCGGATTCGCGGTCCGGCGGGACAGTCCACCGTCACGCTGGATGCAGATGCAACTGTCGACGACCTCCGGCACCAAATCACGGAGAAAACGGGGCTGACGGCGTACGATGTAAAATATGGATATCCAGATATCAAGCCCTTGGTGCTAGGCGCGCTTCCTTCGAAGCAGAAACTAGCAGATCTTGACATTACCCTGAACGGGGAACAACTTATCGTCACACAGCAAGAGAACTCGGCTCATACCCCGCTAAAGAACGAACCTCAAGCGGCAGATTCGCCGCTGAAAGCGCCAGTTGTAGGCAGCACACATAAGAAGGGTTCTGATGATCCGCCGGAGGTCCCCTCGCCTGACCATAGCGGAACCTTCGTTCTCCGAATCATGCCCGATGACAACTCTTGTCTCTTTCGTGCAGTGAGTAGTGCGACTATGGGAGGAGTAGATGCCATGACCGAATTACGATCTGTTGTTGCGCAAACAATCCAAGCGCACCCAGACCTTTATACTGAGGCAGTATTGGAAAAGAAGCCGGATGAATACTGCCGCTGGATCCAGAATGAGGACTCTTGGGGTGGTGGTATTGAGCTGAGCATTCTGAGCAAGCATTTCGACATTGAAATATGCTCCATAGATGTGCAGACCCTTCGCATCGATCGCTTTAACGAAGGCGCCCCGATGCGGTGTATCGTGGTCTATTCGGGAATCCACTACGATACAATCGCTTTGTCGCCTTCTAGTCCGCCCTATACCCACTCAGATGTGCCTCCTGACTTTGATACAAAAGTCTTCGACGCTGCAGATCCATTGGTACTCGAGAAGTCGCAGGAACTCTGTCAGGTTCTGCAAACCAGGCATTACTACACTGACACAGCTGGGTTTCGTCTTCGTTGCAATACGTGCGGAGGGACATTCGTCGGAGAGAGAGGTGCTACGCAACACGCCGAACAAACAGGACATGTTGATTTCGGCGAGGCTGGCTGAACAGAACCTGTGCTAGCTGGGTGAGCATCCATCTTCCAAGATATATACGACACTATAAATATTATAATGTGGCTGTTGGTGAAAGCCGCAACTCCTAAATTACTAGACTTAGAGGTCGGGTATCCCCTACTTTCAGTGCGGCTAAATGAATCAGTTCTTCAGTCTACATGTCTTTCCTGGCTCCCTCGTTCAGTAATTGTACTTGCTAGAGAATATATCGCCTGGACCCAAGGAACCATCCTTTGAAAATGTCCGTTTAATAATAAAGCGATCGCAAATAGTAGGTTAGAGGTTATTTTATTATCATCAAACCAGGAGTCATTATCATACATTGGCTCGGGAGCTCTATATCATTGCTACTTCGTCCACTTCTCCATCATCCTTATCCTCATCTTCTTCCCCAGTGTCTGCGCTATCGTCGGGGTCCCCTCCCCACTCCACATCATGGTCTATAGGGTCAGTGAAAAACTCATGTTGTAGGGCTTCCTTGGCACTGAGGCGCTTGTAGGGATCCAGCTCCATGAGGCCAGCCAGTAATCGAGTGGCCTGTTTCTCACTTTCAGTTAGCTCTTCGACACAGCTGGCCCATTTCACAAGTTTCTCCCAGCTATACCCCTTTTCACCGATGGTCGGGATATTTGTTTCGAATATCTGTCCATGCATGGCTGCAGCAGCTTTCATGCGTCGAGTGCCGAAGATACTCGCCATCTCAATCATAGCGTCAACATCATCAGCCGAGTTAAAAAAAGGAAAGCGGCGTCCAAGTAGGGTCAAGAGAATGACGCCGGCGGACCACATATCTATTTTGGTTGTCTGAGAAGTGCACTTGAAGAGGACTTCAGGTGCACGAAACCCACGCGTTCCTGCTCGATTAGCGCGCCTTGATGGTCGTGAGTCGTTCTTAGGATAGCCAGCTGATAATGTCGTCGGTGAACAATGAGTGCTGTGATAACTGTGGTTATATCTACTACGGCGTATGTAAGCTGCATTTGCGCACAGGCAGGTACCTGTGTACTCAGAACCCTCACGCTATGACCGCAAGTCAGTATGTTGTCGCCTCGTATGACCAGTGGATCTACTCACTTCTGCAAGCCCGAAATCGACTAACACGCCTTCTCGAAGATCAGGATTATAGAGGAAATTACTGCCAAGGCTATAAGTTAGCATCCGGCAAGTATCGAAGACATGGTGGAATAGCGCGTAGTCCTTACGTTGGCTTGATATCGCGATGGAGAATGTTATGTTTATGGACGGAGTGCAGTGCAGTGAACAGTGACCGGAAATAATGTCGCATATCAGCAACCAGGAATGTGCGATACTGAATGCGAAAGTCGGTGTGTGGGAAGAAGGGTAGAACGGCCACAACTTGATCCTGGTAGCGGAAAGCCGTGATTAACGGGCATACTGATCGGCAACCCCGAAGATCATGTAGTAGCTCAAGTTCATTTTGAATGCGATGGGGACTACTAGTCACATAGATCTTTTTCAATGCAACGAACCGTGGCTTCCTTCGTTTGACGGGAATCGAGCGGCCGTTATCACCTTCCACCCGGCGTCTTTTAGACGGTTGGTCCGTCCAACTGTCCGTGTGGTTGCCTTGGAAAGTGTCCCAGTCGTTTTCATAGTGGTCGTACAAGAGGTCCTCTGCTTTGTACACGGTGGAAAAGGTACCTGTAAACCCATGGCCAGCCGGTCAGTCCGTCGGTGCAAGTAGAAGCAGCTACTATGTGGGAGGACACAGCCAAGGGCAAGTTAATCGGCTGCACTATACCTTCTCCGATTCTATTCAACAGCCGAAATCTATCAGATATGCCGGGGAATGTGTCCTCGAGTTTTCTCATATCTTCTTTCACTGATTCATCAACATCCTCTTTGTCTTGAGCGTCACCCTCCTCGTACTCCACCTCTTCTCGAATTTGCTCTATCGATCCATCACTATCTGTGGCTGCACTGTCCTCTCTAACATATTTGGGGCCTTGGGTCGCAGCGACAGGTTGCTGTATGCCGAAGGTATCGGTAGGAACTGCATGAAGAGCGGACATCGCAATGAGGACCGCTTGGAAGGGCTGTTACAGACTAGCAGGGAAGATCACTGAGTGATAGCTTGATCAGCAGAACCTGGCAGCAACACGACAAAACAGGTGCAATAAGACTGAAAATGATATAGTCGTGCTTCAGGAAGGAAAGGAAGGCGTGAGGTTATGGAGATATGCGAATGAGTGCAGGGTGGTATTGCTAGATCAAGTCGCGCACGCGCACATACACGTGTGGATAGGTATGAGGAGAAGCCCCAGTCCTGTTGTAGTGTTGTGGTGAGGGGAGTCGGTCGTCGCTCCCACTGTTTTCCAGCAACAATCCAAAGATGCTCCAAGCAGCATGCAAAACCGCCGCACCAGGAACCAGACTTGTTTGTTTACTCGTTTGTAGTTACATGAATCATATGAACGTAATTTTCATATTACAAGTATTGACAGGAAACAACCACAAAGCGGAAGGGTCTGAAGCAAACCTATCAGATTACATGTTGCTGGTGTACTGGTAGCCGTTTGCAGTATATGTTGGTTGTAATGCTGTAATTTATATTTCTTAAGACCTGCTACAATACGGGATAGCGGCGCGAGAGTGTAATTATTGAGGGTTGAAGCGTGTGACATAATTTACTGGTACGCAACCCTCAGCCCCCGCCGCCTCACAACCACCTACCGAAAGGGAAAGATACAAACAAATGAAGCCCGCCGCCCGTCATTTCTTCCCTGCGGCTCTCCTTCCCCTCCAACATCCCCCCCAATTCAACAACCCCCTCCTTCCGGCTCGCTACCTACACATATATTGCTTTCGCAACACGCCTCTTGACCTCATCGCTTTTGATAAAGCTACATGCCCTTCGGGGATAACCCTCGCAGTGGCCGATCATGGAGGACCGAATTCAATTCGACATAAACGAGTCGCTGAAACACTATCTGAGCGACCCGGCCTCTGTCCCTACTCCCGATGCTGATCCAGAGCTGCTCGACTGCGAGACCGATCCGGACCAACTGTCTAGCGCTCTGATTGACAATGTCTTGAATCCCATCGTTGATGCGGTCGCGGAAAACCCAGAAGGACTGGCCCGATCGTCTTCTTTCGATTCGCTGCAGTTTCTGTTGAAGTGCGTCCTGTCCCCTGATATGTTCCTCTCATCCTCAGGATGTCTTCATTATCTGTAGAAATGTTTCTAAATCCCCTTATTTGCGCAGGTATTGCTCGTTTTCCCCCACTAGGTCTCTCAGCAAGCTTCTTGATTTAATCGTTTCCGGCTTATCGGTCGAAGCGGACATAATACATGGGGAGCTTGAATCCGATGAGCAGGATGGCATACAGCATCACAAGCAGCTCTTGGAAATGTATGGGTTTCTTCTCCAATGGGCTCTTAGTGCCGTAGAGGTCAAAGCTGCAGAAAAGCCCACAGAGCCTGTACCCGCCCGCAGGGGCGCAGGGAAATCAGCCAGATCTAAAACGAACGCCAAAGATGGAAACTGGGACTGGACCGCGCAGATTCAGATCTCGATGGAGACGATGTGCAAGGTGATGAAGCTTAAACTCAGCAGAATATTTCTGACGACATCTGACCGTGATACATTCATCAATCTGTTCACCCGCTCGATTTACCTTATCCTCGAAAGCGAACAACGCGTCAAGAGTATGAGCATTCGGATGCATGCATTTAAGGTTCTTTGCATCGCAGTTAAGCACCACGGCCATGCATTCGGTAAGTTGCTCTGAGTCAGCTAACTGAGGTAGGAACCCAATAACTAACTCACCAGATAGGTGCCCAGACCTCCATCGTACAGAGCTTGACATATTTTGAGCACCTCTCAGAACCTATGGCGGAGTTCTTGCATATCTTGGCAGAACAATATGATTATCCTCAGCTCTCGGATGAAATACTGAAGTACGTAGCATACTTTAACTTGTATGTCCTCAGGAACACTTCCGGCTTACGTTTGTTAGGGAACTTGGAAACAAAGAATTCAATTCTAATGACACACGCGGTCCTAAGTCGGTGTCAGCGTTCATTGTGAAACTCTCAGAGCTGGCCCCACGACTTATCATCAAGCAAATGACTCTTTTGGCTAAACAGCTGGACAGCGAGGTGATTACGCACACTCTCCCATCGTGCCAGTTACTGAGTATCTAATATTCTATAGTCATACACCCTTCGTTGTGCAGTAATCGAAGTCTGCGGGAATCTCATCGCCGATCTAAGCCGGCAAGAGGAGCGGAGTGACAACTACAAAACGCAGATCAACGCATTCTTCGATGTGCTTGAAGAGCGCTTTCTGGATATCAATCCTTACTGTCGGTGCAGAGCTATCCAGGTTTACATGAGGATTTGTGACCTGGAACAGAAATTCCCCAAGCGACGCCAGGCTGTGGCGGAGCTGGCAGCAAGGAGCTTAGAAGACAAGAGCAGCAACGTGCGCCGGAATGCGATACGATTGCTGGCAAAGCTGGTATCAACTCACCCTTTCAGTGTCATGCACGGTGGGCAACTCTCGCACAAGGAATGGTCAGCTAGACTTGACACTGTGGATGCTGAACTGAATGCGTTGAGACCTCCCGAGACACCTGGCTTTGATGGGGCGGATGCATCGCATGTTGACAGTGCATTATTGGATGATGCCACTCAATTGCCGGAGGACTCCCCATCTAAAGCTTCGGGGTTGACAGAGGAAGAGAAAGCCACAGCCATCAAGAAAGCTGCTGAACAGGCAGCTACTTCCGAGCTGCTAGCACGGCTACAGCTCACCAGAAAATATTACAATGAAGCCATCCGGTTCATCGAAGTCCTTCATTCCTCATCTGGCTTGGTCGCTCAGCTTTTATCGTCGAGGAACAAGAGTGAGGCCATTGAGGCCATGGACTTCTTTGTCGTGCTCGATGCCTACAAGGTCGAGACCTCCCGTAGCGGGATCCGGCGGATGCTGCGACTGATCTGGACGAAAGGTAATAGTGACGAAGGCAAGGGAGTTCAGACTCACTTGATCGACTGCTATAAAGGACTTTTCTTCGAGGCTCCAGATTCGTTTAGTCCCAATGACGCTGCAAATTATATCGCGCGAAACATGATCAGTCTAACGTTTGGGTCAACGCCCGCTGAACTGACATGTCTCGAACAACTATTGAGTACTATGATGAGGGCCGGCCACATTTCAATTGCCGTTATTGCGAAGCTCTGGCAGGTCTATGGTGTGCAAAAGAAAG